GCCCAGCCATACGAATGACTGTTTTCACCGAACAAATCTACCGAACGGATGGCCACCCAGGATAGAAGTGTGCTGCTGGTTAACCTCTTGATCCCAATTAGAACGTTGTGGTTAACCGTAGACACTTCTCAATTAAACCGAATTCAGGGTGGCCATCGTTCATATGTCGACCACGAGGCAGCGGCCATTTTAAAACACACGAAAGCCCAGCGGTGTTTGGCACTGATTTCATGGAACTAAAAACGGATGCTTTTTCTGCCAAACACGGAGTCAATCGCATACCGAAAGACTGTAAGGACTTTGACTCCATGGCGATTGAACTATGTGTGTGGGATCTGAGCGCTATTCGCCAATAATATGCACTCAGATCTAGGCTATCTGGGGATATGTGATGCGAATGGGAAATGTTCGGTTATTTTAAAGTTATGTATTTTTATGTATTTTCTGGTATTTTATTTAAGATGGCGATTTGTCTTTGTCCTGGAGATAATTGAATTACTTCTCAATTATCTCCAGGGCAGAGGGGAGGAAACCATATTGCATTGTGGGAAAAGGTTACATCTGTATGTCTGAAATGTCCCCATGTCTGTCATTACAGTCTCCCATTTGGTCCCCTAGGGGAGTGTCCACCAAGTGGGAGACCTGCATAATTACGGGCAGGTAGCCCACAGTAAAGCGAGATCCTGTTTGACCCTCAATGCGGAGCTTCTGTCTCGTTATTGGGGGGATTTCTTATTTGTGCTTACAGACTGATTATTGGAACTAAAAGCCACTTGGTGGATATCATTGTTTGGCGGCTAGCAGCAGTTCGTGGATTTCCGTTCGGGGTTTGGAGCCTTTCACGGATCCCGGTCGGGAGATTACCGCTTCCCCTGATGGTGGTTCATATACTACAGTCTATGCGAACGGAGTTACTGATATTGCAAAAGGGGAAGGTTAACTAAACGGCGGTTTCTCTTAAAGACACCAGGGGTGTCTTAACATTGTTTTTAACACTATTGGGTCAGGAATACATGTGTGTAGGGAGAGACACTAAGTTCACCCCTTGTTTAATATGTAACTTGCACCCACTGAATACTGGTGGGAGATGGAGGGGGCATAATGATTTTTTTATTTATTTAATTACCCACACATGCTAGTCACAGGTGAAGGCAGGAAGGTGGACAGTAATCTGTCCAACCCATATTATTTAATTTAAAATTCCCCACCATATGCTCACTGGAGGGGACATGGGAGAGACCAAATCCCCTCTCTAATTTAACAGGCCACATCCCCATTTGTTAGTTTGTTGTTAGTTTGAGATTTGTTGTGTTCCCAGTGTATTACACATTCCTATATTGTGCTTGATCTGTAAATATGGCAGATAGCAGTGATTATTGCAAAGAATACAAAAAGCAAGATTACAAAAATTTGAATCCATGTTTAAAGATACAGAGAAACCAAGATATGTGGAAAGGTTAGACAAATTCTTTAAATGCAAATGAAAATTGTTAAACCTTGAAACGAAAAAGCGGTGGGAAATAGCATTTGTGGAACATTTTTTAAAAGAAGGTTTAGTACCAAGAGCACTTCGTATTAAGAAAATACCATCTTTTGGCCTTGATTATTATGAATTCCTAGATAGGTATGATGATATTTTATTTAGGTGTTCCTGCCAATTAATGGAATTGAGTGTGGATTTTTCAAACGCAAGTAAGATAAAATTAGAAAGGGAATTAAAAAATGTGGATATGAATGAGTCAAGAAATAGGGAAGATCTACAATTTAAAGAAAATGAAGACATTATGCAAAGAAGGTTGAAAAACCTGGATGAGAAAATCCACAATACTTTTTCCACTAAAAATAAACCATATCCATATAAAAAAAAGAGCCTTTTACGACTTTGGTCATTAACAAAGGGAAAACTACTCCTGAAAGGAATCACAAACAATTTGATACTAAGACCAAAAGATTGGTGGGGAGGTAATAACATAAATAGGAATTCTGATAATATTCCAAAATCCCCCCCTAGAAGAGAGATAATATTTGACTCCTATGCCCATGCAGTAAGGAGTAACCCAGATGTCAACCAAAGAAATACATCTAATGAAGGAGATGAGAGAAGTTTTCAAGGGAGGACAAGAGTCCCCAAGGAAAAAGTGATCACCAATTACTTCCAGCCCCGAGAAGAGAGATGGGATCATACCAACCCTTTCTCTCCTCTGTGCACGGAATACCCCCAAAAGAGGAAAAGGCTAGAGGAACAAGACAGATACCAGAGGAGAGAATAGTTCTACCTAAGAAACAGAGAAAGGAATTATTAATTTATCTAGAGTTTAACTATCAAAGCAAGAAATAAATCTGCTAGAAAAGAGCATGAAATTTGCCCCCAATCAGGCTGATGATTTTAATTTGTATATAGACCTAAAATAATTGTTTAGGTCAATGACAGTAAAGAGAAACTTCCTTAAAATTTTGATAATATTACACAGTCTAAAGATCAATTTAAGCTAAAATTTAAATTCTTCCCAGTATAAAGCAAAGGGTCACATTTAGAGACCTTTGAAAATATGGTGGAAAAAGAATTGAAAAAGTTAGCAAAACCCAATTTAAATAGAAAAAAAGCAAAAAAAAATTTAACTAAAGGGGAACAATTGGCACAAAAAAATCTGACGTCGAGAGAAGACATCGTCATCAAGGAGGCAGATAAAGGAGGGGCTATAGTTATCATGTCATCTTAATACTATCGACAAGAAGCCTCTAACATCTTAACGGATGATAAGACATATAAGAAAACTTAAGAATGATTCCACATTGGCTTTTATTAAAGCTTTGAAAGATCTTTTTAGTCAGGGCAAAGGAGGAAGGTATAATTTCAAATAAGAATTTAGATTTTTTGTGGAATACATGTCCTATGATTCTAATTTTCTATTTCATACTGAAGATCTATAAAAACTTGCAAGTTCCCCCCAAGTAGCTCTAGAATTAGTGGCATAGATTCGGTTACGGATAATCTATTTACCTTTTTGGACTTTTATTTGCAGAAATATCGGCCTCATACATCAAAGATACCAAATCCTTACTTCAGGAAATGGAAAATATTGAATGGCAAGAAAATTATAGCTGGGACACACTTGATATGGCTTTGCTTTATATGGTTATTAGCCATCATCTGGGAGTAGAGGCAGTCAATTATTTTATGGACCAGAATAATAAGATCTCCTAACATCTAAAAACATTTATTTAAATAGGCATCAGATTTATATTAGATCATAATTATTTTTCTTTGACCAGTCTTTTTATGTGCAGGTTATGGGAACCGCCATGGGTACCAGGTTCACCCCCAGTTATGTCAATATTTACATGCGATGATGGGAAGACCTTTTCGTATGGTCAAGGCATGACTGGAGGGAGAACCTGGTACTATGGCAGAGATATATTGACAATGTCATCATCATTTGGAAGGGGTCCTATTTAAAGGACCACTCTAGGCACCCAGACCACTTCAGCTTAATGAAGTGGTCTGGGTGCCTGGTCCAGCTAGGGTTAACCCATTTTTTAATAAACATAGCAGTTTCAGAGAAACTGCTATGTTTATGAATGGGTTAAGCCTTCCCCTATTCCCTCTAGCGGCTGTCTCATTGACAGCCGCTAGAGGCGCTTGCGTGCTTCTCACTGTGATTTTCACAGTGAGAGCACGCCAGCGTCCATAGGAAAGCATTGTAAATGCTTTCCTATGAGACCGGCTGAATGCGCGCGCAGCTCTTGCCGCGCGTGCGCATTCAGCCGGCGGGGCGTAACAGAGGAGGAGGAGAGGAGGCAGAGAGCTCTCCGCCCAGCGCTGGAAAAAGGTAAGTTTTAACCCCTTCCCCCTTTCCAGAGCCGGGCGGGAGGGGGACCCTGAGGGTGGGGGCACCCTCAAGGCACTATAGTGCCAGGAAAACGAGTATGTTTTCCTGGCACTATAGTGGTCCTTTAAGGTTTCAAGGCTTTGTCAATTATTTAAATCAGAATGAGTATAATTTAAAATTCTCTCCTGTGTGGGATCAGAATGAAATCAATTTCTTAGATATCTCTTTGTTCTGTGAAGAAGTTCAGATTAGAACAAAGGGTTTCTTTAAGCCTACAGATAGGAACAGTTACGTCCATAAAAAAAGTTGCCATCATCAACCCTGGTTGAAAGGCATAGCAAAGGACAGTTAACCATGGTTAGACGTAACTGTTCCCATGTACGGGATTTTAAAACACAAGCACAACATATAGCCAAGAAACACAAAGAAGAGCTATAGTCAAAAGAAGACAGATAGAGAAATTAGGATTATGTCTAAAAGAAATAGGTGAACTCTTGATGGATACTCGAACTACAAGGAAATGTGTAGAAGGTTTCAAACAAGCTTTTTTTCACTTAATATAATGCCGATCATAATAAAATTAAAAGGGCTTCATGTACTGGCCAACTCTTATGGAAGAATTATATTTATGTGAAAAATAAAAATCATAATTTTACTGTGAACCATTGCCTGGAGAATATCCTGCAAGTGGGTATATAATAACACTGCATGCTTTTTTTTTTTATCCAGAGCTGGTCACAGCTCTACCAGATGTGAGTTGGCATTTTAGACCTCTGTGTCGTGTGTTACCCAGTGTATTACCATATTGCATTATTGGTCTACACCGTCTGTGTTCTTTTTCATATGCTGCTACCAACCAAAGTTATCCCTCAAGCACTTTATGAAGATGGAATGTTACTGTGTCTTGCTACCTGATATTGACTGTGTCTTGCTACCTGATATTTTTTTAGTCTTTTATTGTTGGACTATATCAAGTATTAATATTTTATTATTGTTTTTATTGTGTTTTTAGAGATCTTTTTAGGCCTCTTACCTTATTTGTTCTTTTGGGCGCTACCTGTATTATGTTTTACTTGCTAAAGTCTATCTAGGGTTTTATAAGGATATGCTTTTATATGCTCAGGTAAGCTGCCTCTTCTTACTTTTCATTGTTCAGTTATTTAGTGCTGCTTCATCCTCTTTGCTTTAGTAAATATGAGTCTGTAATGCAGAAAGCAACAATTCAAAAGATTTGCTAACTATATCATTTCATATGTTCCATTCATCTTTCCGTAATCCATAATTCAAGGAACAACTGTTGAGATATACTGTTGACAGTAAAGGCAGTAAGTCTTTTGTTCGCTCCTGTTATCCAGCTGGTTGTATCTCTAGCTCAGTATTGTTTTAGGTGATGTGGAAATAAAGTCTGGAATTTGGAGCTGGTGGACTGATCTTTCTGGTTATGGAAAGGTAGTTGTAATAGTCTTAAGGATCCACCGATCCCAGAGTGTGAAAGTTAGCCACTCATATTTTATGAGTTGCTTTCCAAAGAAATTTTTTTTAAAGGGGTTGCTTTTTTATCTGGTTGATCTGGACTATGTATAGATTATATTTGTTTTAAAAGTGTTCATAGAAAAATAAATAAGGAAACTTATAAGTATATGCATTTTTATTGAATTATGATGCACCATTTAGGTGTTAATTGTTTATTGTGATTGATTTTTGCACTTTTATGACTGCTGCACAATTATTCTAATTGCAGTTTTATATGAAAAGCACTGAAGCAATTAATTGAAACACAAAATTTGACTTTACAGTTTTATACTTACTTATGATTAAAGCACTAATTTTATGGAAATTACACTGTATTACCAGTGACATTTTAGATCACCTTGTAACTTATAGCACCTAATGAATGTAATTCCCATCAGGGAAATATATACAGTTGTGGTGAAAAGTTTGCATACCCTGGTAGAAATTGTGACATTTTGGCATTGTGTTTGAAAATACGACTGATCATGCAAAACAATTTATTTTATTGAAGGATAGTGATCATATGAAGACATTTATTATCATGTTATCATTATGGCTGTTTGGCTCCTTTTTGAATCATAATGATAACAGAAATCACCCAAATAGCCTTGATCAAAAATTTACATACCCTTAAATGTTTGGCCTTTTTACAGACACCTAAGGTGTCACACACACAGGTTAAAATGTCTGTTAAAGGTTAATTTCCAACACTTGTGGCTCTCACGTGGATGCACTGAGCAGGCTAGATACTGAGCCATGGGGATCAAAAGACCTGTGGATATAAAATGATATCCAAACACTCCAAATAGATATAAATATTTTAAGGTGCGCCTTTAAGACAAAAATATAGATTTTTTATTTATTTTTATTTTTTTTACAAAAACCCATGTAATTAGGTGAGTATAATTGAGTGAGTGTGGTTGTCTCAAGGAGCAGAAGATGATGATATTTGAACAAAAATGAGCTGCATGGTTTAGTTGCCAGTAAGAAGCCTTTACTGAGCCATTGACACAAAAAAAACCCTGTTACAATATGCCCGACAACACCTTGACATGCCTCACAGCTTCTGGCACACTATTATTTGGATTGACAACACCAAAATAGAGCTTTATGGTCACAACCTTAAGCATTATGCTAAACTAGCACTGCTGCACATTACTCCACTAGCACTGCTGCACATTACTCCAGCACCAATTTTGACATACAAAATTTTTTATCAGTAAGCACCTCCTCAATGCTGCAAAAACACTGATACCTGCTCTCTGGAAACAAATGGTTGCCCCAACAGGGAAAAGTGGTTGGGACAAGTGGAGGAGGCTGCGTAAGCGACCCAGGCAGCATTACTGGGTGCGGGTGACAAACACACAGAGTGCTGGCGGCCTGGTTTATGTATATAGCAGACAAGATGCTTACTGGCACCGATGATGCCTCAAGTGAGCCGCATAGCGACTTGGGGTTGGGGGGCGCGGCCCTTAGACTGGTGTATTCCGCTCTCCTTTCTTTTCTCCATAACCCTGATCCACCTAACCCTATCCACATCTTATCCTCTCCCGCTCATTCTAATGTATATCTACTCTCCTGTATCCCCTCATTTCCACTTGCTTCTTTTATTCTTCTTCCTTCTACTTAATTCTCTCTCATAAGGACAGCCTCTTTCAAATGAACCAGATATAGACACCTGCAGTTCCAGAACGCATATACCGTGGTGGTAGATGTGGCTACACTATTGGTGCATACTAGCTTATATATATGTAACGTCATACGTAGTGTATTTTAATGTTAATATAAGCACATATATTAGTATTAAAATACACTTAGAATTAAGTTACATATACACATATATATTACATACACACATATATATATATATATATATATATATATACACACACACACACATATACACACACACACACACACACACACGTATAATTACAATAATAAATACAATAATAAAATAAAATATTTTTTTTTACATTTAAATAAATTATATATACATATGTAATTTCATTCTAACGGTATTTTGTGTAATATATATATATATACACATACATATACATACATACATACATATACACATATACATACATACACACACAAAATTGCTTGCACTCCTGGAATAGGTAAATAATATGCCCGGTGCTGGTCAGGCAAATAGCATAGAAAAACAGAGAATGACCGCACTCAGGGATTTGTAAATGTTCAAAATAAATCAAATCAATGTTTCAGCCCCATATTTGGGATTTCATCAGGATGGTAAAAAAAAACATCCTGATGAAAGCCCAAATATAGGGCTGAAATGTTGATTTGATTTATTTTGAAGATTAAAAGTTAAGTTTTAGTGATATTTAAAGTGCAGTCATTCTCTATTTTTCTACATACATACATACATACATATATATCAAAATTCCTTGCACTGCAGGCTTAAATTGCAATTTAGCTTACATGCTGGGTGCTGTATCCGGGTCATACGTATACAGAAAATGCAAGAGATGGTCCGCACTCCCAGGCTCCGTTTAAAATGTAACCTTTATTTTCACATCAACAGTAAAAAAATAGATGCCAATGGTCAACGTTTCAGTCCCCGGTTGGGACTTTCCTCAGGACAGCATAAAACAACTTCTAAGTACAATAGTTTATATAAAGGAAATAAGTGACTTAACTTACCCCAGGTGTAGTGCCGCCCGAGTCCAACCGTGCACACTGTGAATGTGTGAACACACCCCCAATAGTGATGTGTACCCGCAATGGTGCCCCGTGATCCATGTTGCCAATATATTATATATATATATATATATATACACACGTAGAATTTAAATACATATATATGTATATATATTAAAATTCTACATGTATATTTAAATAATCTTTTAACATAATGTGATTTCATTAATTAAAATTTGATTGACAGGCCTGACAACCCAGGCAGAAAGTGCAGATAATTTAATTCACAAGCACTATATTTAACCTTGTAACTTTTCAAGACACCAACAAACCTGTACATGGGGGGTACGGTTTTACACAGGAGACTTCGCTGAACACAAATATTAGTGTTTCAAAATGCTCATGCTCCTGAGCAGGTCAGAGAGGAGACGATTGCAAGGGTTATTGGTTAAAACTTTATTTGTTGTATTAGACATTACAAATTTACTGAAAATAAAGCATAAAGGGCAGTCTGCCACAAACAGGATACTTTGAGAAAAACAGGGTTTAGGCAATATGCCACAAACAAGATCTTTAGAAAGTAAATGAATAAAGTCTTTTGTATTCAAGCAGGCTTGAAGTTATACCAAGTAGTTAAGGATTTCCAGGATACTTTGCAATGCAGCTAGTTATAGGTAAATACATTTTAGGATAAGGCAATACAGGATCATGCAGAGTTTGAGACAGGTAGGTCTATTCCAAAATAATATAATGCAGGTTGCTTACGAGATCATGCAGTGATGCAGCAAATGAAGCAGTTAAGATTCTTCAATGAAGGCAATACGCCACAAATCAGGATTCTTGGAAGCTAATAAGGAAAGTCTTTCAGGCAAGTTCAGGATGATGTAATGCAGGTTAATGCCTTTCAGTATGAGGAAATGCAGATGTGTACAGGATGAGGCACTGCAGGTAAGTTCTCTACAGAATGAAATCATGTTGATAAAATACAGGATATCACCAGGAACAGAGATTCTTTATCAGAGCATAGACTTCATCTTTATCAGAGCATACACTTCAATGTCAAGGCACTGTTGTGTGCTGGGAGTAGACTTACCAAGCCTCCTCATTAGTTAATCCAGGTGAGGTTATAAAGGTGAGTGAATAGATTAGTGGCTAGGGATACCACTAGAGGAGAAAATCATGAAGTTCACTTAAAGGGCCAGTAATAAACGAAAAAGTCTTGCATGTCAATTTTGAAACCTGACAGCTAAATTGTATTACAATGATGCTATTTTCAGTAAAAGTGAAGTTGTTTGCATTTTTTACACATCAATGGCTCTTTTACTGATGATATTATTGTTGTAATATGTTTTACTGTTTTGAAACAATTATGTTTGTGTTCAGTGAAGTCTCCCAAATATAACAGTACATCCATGTACAGGTTTTAAGTGTTTTGGAAAGTTAGAGAGTCAAATATAAGGCTTGCATTTCATTTTTTTCACATTGAAATTTGCCAGTTTGGTAATGTTGCCTTTGAGACTGTAGGGTAACCTAGGAATGAGAATTACCCACATGATTGCATACCATTTACAAAAGTAGACAACCCAAGGTATTACAAATGGGGTATGTCCAGTCATTTTTATTAACCACAAACACTGGCCAAATATTAGTTTTTTGCTTTTTTCACACAAAAACAAATATGAACACTAACTTTTGGTCAGTGTTTGTGACTAAGTGACTACTAAAAAAGACTGGACATACCCCACTTTCAATACCTTGGATTACTTTTGCAAATGGTATACAATCATGGGGGTAATTCTCATTCCTGGGTTACCACACGGTCTCAAAGGTTACATTACTAATCTGGCAAATTGTAATGTGAAAAAAATGAAAGATGGAATGTGCTATATTTGACCCTGTAACTTTCCAAAACACCATAAAATCTGTTAATGGGGGGTACTGTTTTACTTGTGAGTCATTGCTGAATACAAATATGTGCATTTTATTGCAGTAAAAGTGAACAATATCGTGACATTTACAGCTAAAATGTCAGGCGGAACTACAATCTTTTTTTTATCTTAATTTCTCACAGTTTTTTTTTTTTTTACTTTATTCATAATAAGTTATGAATAGTTCATGAGAAATTAAAGCCCTATTTTTCCTGAACAAAATGATATACAATTAGTGTGGGTGCACTTAATATGAAAGAGGTGAATTACGGTTGAACAGACATATAGTGCAAATTCCAGGTTTTGTTTACATTTTGTTTTGATCAGAACATGTACTATTGACTCCGTCCTGAAGGGGTTAAGACATAGCGTGGTTCTATAGCAAGCACAGCCAGACAAGCAGAATCCTCCAATTTAAATATCACTACATATCATTGATAGCTATGCTTCAGGGTGCCCTTCAGCTACAGC